TACAGGAGGATATTGCGCCTCCTTCTCCGGCAGAGCATCTGGTGGATTCGAACCGTGTTCCTCTGGGATTGCAGCTTGAACTTCTGACAGTTCTCTGTCAATGTTTTGTTCTAGCCACTTGTGAATGAACTTCAGTAATTTTTTTTTCCATGTGATACTAATGACATTGTTTGGTAATGTCCACATTCTGTTGAATCACCATTCTTGGGAATAGGAACAAATGCAGCTCTCTTCTAGTTAGTTGGCCAGGTAGTTGTCTTCCAAACTTTCTGGTACAGACTGTTGAGCACGTTTCCGGTTGCATCTGTTAGTTGGAACATGTCAATCGGTATCCCATTGAGTCTAGGGATTTGTAGCACTTTTTATTTCACAAGAGTGAAAAGAAGGACATGCATGTGATGTCAGCAATGATATGCCTCCTTCTGTGGCATATGTTCTGAATCTCCCTTGGATTTCTAGTCACTGCTCCAGCTAGTTTTGAATTACCTTCATCAAGATTTTACTTGCATGTGATATTAATAATATTGTTCAGGGGAGCTCTGGTGGCCTAGTGGTAAGGAGCTGCAACTACAATCCCAGAGGCTCATGGTTCGAATCCACCAGATGCTCTGCCGGGGAAGGAGGGACAATCTCCTCCTGTACCAGTCAGATCTGATTTGACGGTACACTCACACACACACAAAATAATAAAATAAAAAAAATAATATTGTTCCATAATTTTTGCACTCTGTTGTCTTTTAAATTTCTTGGCATAAACAAGTGAGCAAGTCCAGGGCGGTGTCCATTTACCTTCAGTACAACCTGGATTTCTTTTAGGATCACTGGTTCTTGATCATATGCTACTTCCTGAAATGGCTCAATATTGGTAAAGTGATGGTGTATTCCTCCTTTGTTCTCCTGCTGCTTCCTGTGTAATTGATTGTTTTGACCATAGAATCCTTCAGTATTACATCTTAAGGGCTAATTTATTTTTCAATTCTTTCAGCTTGAGAATTGCTTGTGTGTGTTCTCCTTTTGGTGTTTTTTTTTTCTTCTTCCCTTCCCCCAACCCCCTAGTTCGCTTTTTTCTTTGGAAAAAAATTTCTTTCATTGTTATACAGTCCCCCCCACACACCCCGGATCACTTTACTATGCAACTCTTATTCTGGACTCTTGTCATGCCAATAATATATAATCATATGTTCCTTTTATATGGTTCTTTCCCTCGTCTGTTTCAATGCCGTGTACTTTATTTATCCCCTCTTTTCTTAGTTTTTCCCCAACCACCATTATCAGTCCTTTTCTGTAACAGTAGTAGTATACAGTATTTTTCTTTTTATGACTGAGATATTTCACTCAGCGTAATATCCTCTATGGTCACCCATTTTGTATAATATTTCATGAGTTCCTTGTTTTTCAATGCTGCATAATATCCCATTGTGTCAATATGCCATAGTTTCTCTATCCATTCGTTTGTTGATGAGCACTTGGGTTGTTTCCAACTCTTTGCTATTGTGAACAAAGCAGCAATAATCATGGGTGTGCATATATCTGCTTGGGGGGCAGTTCTGGTTTCTTTAGGGTATATTCCCAGTAGTGGAATTGCTGGGTCAAATGGTATTTCTATTTCCAACTTTCTGGGAAAGCTCCATATCGCCTTCCACAGTAGTTGCACCGTTTTACACTCCCACCAACAGTGAATAAGGGCTCCAGTCTCTCCACAACCTCATCAGCATTTGTTGTTTGCTGCTCTGTTGAATTTTGCTATTCTTACTGGGGTGAGATGATATCTCAGAGTTGTTTTAATTTGCATCTCTCTTAGAGCTAGGGATTTTGAACATTTCTTCATGTGTTTGTTTGGCATCTGAATGTCTTCTTTGGTGAAGTGTTTGTTCATATCCTGTGCCCATTTTTCAGTTGAGTTGTTTACTTTTATCTTGTTGTTGTTTTCTTTTTGTTTTTCTAACTCCAGGCCTTTGCACGCGTCATTAGAACACTGCTTTATCTTCTCAAGTTCCATCTCAATCATCTGCTCAGCTCTCTCATTTCCAGGTTTCTTCCCCTTGCTTTAGCTTCTCTATGTTGAAAAGAAAGTTTCAGAGTCTCTTATGACATCCATTATGGTCCAGTCTGTATTTTCTTTCTTTCCATTGGAGTGACTTTCTTTCATCATGTATGATATCCTTGATTTCATCCTACAATTTGTATGGTCTTCAGTCATTAGTGTTCATTGCCTCAGATATATTTCTTTTTTGCTGAGTGAAATATCTCAGTCACAAAAGGACAAACACTGCATAGTGCCACTGCTGTAGAATGGGACTGACATCAGGGTTATGGTAAGAATGAGAAAAACTGGATGAATTATGTATACTGTATTGAAGCCGACGAGAGAGGGAACCATTTAAAAGCAATGTATCTTAGGGCATTATGATGATCATAAGAGTTCGGAATGAGGGTTGTAGAGTGGAGTATACTTGGGGTGGGAATGGGGGGCGCGAGGGATTGTGTACCAATGAAGAAGTTTTTCTTTTGCTTTTCAAGGAGAAGAGCAAACTGGGGGTGGGGTGGGTGGGGAGAAAAGTGCAACAATGAATGAATGGAAATCCAAAATCTCTGTAGGTGTTCATTGAAATTAATACTAAGAAGAAAAAGAAAGGAAAAAAGTGTATGAAATGAGGGATTAGATCCATGGCTGACTCAAAATAGAATTGGCATGAATTATGTGAGAAAACAGAGCAAATTCCACATCACAGGTCTTTCCAGAAATCTGTGGAGATTATATTAGCATTAATTTTATTAACCAAAAGTATGATGCCCTAAAGAATTTTGGTCAGAGGTACAGGAGACCATTTGACTAGTTCTAGTCTAGAATACTGATGCCTTAGCCCTCTCTCTGTGGTCCCAACCTTGCTTGGTAATAAAGAGCCTGTCTCAGAAGCCTGGCTTTCCTTTGATGTACTGCCAGACCCTTCAGTGGGTCTGAGATTTCATACAGGTGATGATTATCAGCCTTGACTGCACCACTCTGGTGTGGGGGAGGAGCAGTGGGCCTGAGAAGCCCACCAACCCCACTTTATCTATGGTGGGACCCTTTAAACTGACAAGCTCTGTAGTCAGTCTTGTGGCTCACTTTCTTCTGACTCCTTTTCTTGCTGTCAAGTGAAAACTTTCTCAGGATTTTCTTCCCCAACTCCAAATTTTATTTTGTTGTCTTTGTTGAGAATATACACAAATTGAACGCTTTCTACCTGTACAATTTGGTGAAAATTGATTACATTCTTTGAGTGCTACAAACATTCTCATCCTCCTTATCTGAGTTGTTTCTCTTCATTTATTCATAATAGGAGACATGACGTGAAGTCACGTGGCTTAATATAATCTTTCAAATTGCTGCTGTTAATTTGTTTGCATATAGAGAGTTCTTAAAAGAGCATAATGTTTAAGATGGCCCCATAAGCACATAGGTGTCTGAGATGTAGGCACATTCTTTGTGGAGGACCCAGTGGGAAGATAGGGGGAGATGAGATGCCACTGCTGGCAGGGATCCCTGGGAAGGTGAAGATGAGATGAAAGATGTCAGAGATAACTGTGATGGTGTTGGTCACTACAAAGAAAAAAGAGAAAACGGGGAGAAAAAACCCCAAGAGTAAAAATTTCAGAAAAGAAAAAAGTAGCAGAAAAGGGCAAAGAAAAATAATAGCCACAAAAGAAAAAATAAAAAGTAAAAAAGATGTTAGAAAAGCCTGAAGAATCTAAGCAGTACACCAAAGGAACAGTTAGTAGATAAAGTTCAATTAAAGAAATCACAGAGGTGGAGCTCGAATTAGCAAAAGAAAATACTGGTCTATTATAATAATGTAGTTTATAGACTGATGCTAGGAACTCATCTTGAAAAGATGACTTCACAGGGTTTGGAAAAGTACTAAAAGAGAAAATGACGCGATATGAAAAGCCATGATATCTCAAAGCCTTGCTTTGAGACATGTCATATTTCATTAGAAGTTGATGACTTGGAAAAGATTGCAATTCATTGACTCAACTTTGCAATGAAAAACAGAAGCAAGAAAAAGCAATAAAGCAAAACCCTAACGTTGAAAGATGTGCTACTTGGAAGGAGATAAAAGGCTTCCATGGAAGGTGATCTGGCAGATTATGAGGGTTGTGACGGGAGATACCTATAAAACTATGAAGACTGCATGTGACAGAGTTTCGTCTTCTGGTGTCATTTCTTGCCCACAATCCTTTCAACTCACAACACAACTTCCTTTCCTTTTATTTCTTCCAAATCCTCTAGTTAAAAGGATAGTATCTTTTGTGCTCATTATTTAACCCCTTGACTCTTAGGTCCTAATATATAAATAAGACGACTTGGATCTTGCTGCCAAGGGATAAAAATTGAGGACCTCAGTTGCTACTAAACAGTTTTCAAAAATCATTATACTACTGTCTTTGCTGCAGTCTGATTTCCTCATGGGAGTCACAACTTGGAAACAAGGTTGCAAAATGACAAAAAAAATTGTGTTGTGTTACTCACCCTTCAGTAATACAGCTTTAACCCTTCATCCTTGAACTACTTCAGAACTTGTCAAGAAAAGCAGTTTGCAGCAAAAGCATGTGGTATGCACCCAGCATTTAAATGGTCATAACATTTTGTGGAGAAGTATACTTTCTCAGAGTGAAGATAATATATGGCTGGAAAGCTGCTAGCTGGTATTATAGTTAAAAACTAGATGGCCATCCCTCCACTTTGAAACTGAAGCATGTAAACCTCTCTATTACTGCATTTCAAGTTACGGGACCTATTGAGTTCAAAGACTATCTAATTCATATTTATCAGAATATTTCTACTGATAAGAGTTCTTTTGATGAGGAAGAGAAACTTCACCTGTTTTAATTGCTTGGTTTAAATGTTTGAAAAACATACCTCCTTTGCCCTCTTGGGCTGCAGAGGAACAACTTTAACACAATTCTGATGTTTCCTTTCTTTATAAAATATACTCAGCAAACTGCACCAGTTCACTGCAGTTTGGTAAATTGTTAACAGTTATGTCACCCATAATATTATAAAGTCATTAATTAAATCACTGTTGTGAGGACTTTACAGGAAGAGTGTAATGCTCAAGGCAGACCTATACTATTAGTTCAGCTAAACTATTTCATTTAAAGATGACTTCTGAAGATAGTTGGTTTAACGTTTAATGATTAACTCAGGACAAAGGATTTCATCTAACCTCATGGTTCCAGAAAGTCTGGAGTGCATAAGAATTTAAAATTCTGTTCTGCACTCACCCCTCCTTTTGATCAGGATTCTTCTACAACGTCTTTGTTAAGAAATATTAGATATTTGTAGTTGAAGGTCATTCACTTCTGGCCTCAAGACAAATGAGGCACTTGTTCTACTGCCTCCTCCTGTTTGTGATTTGCCTTCTTCCCCTGTTGTTCTAGGGGTGCTCTGGTGGCTTAGCTTGTAGGGTGTGTGTTTCTAACCGAAAGATTTGAATTTGCTAGAGGCTCCAGGGGAGGAAGGTACACAATCTCCTCTGGTGGAATTTACAGCCTCCAGAACCCTGCTAGAGGTCAGCCAAGAATCACTTCTGATTCAAAGGCAATGAGTTTGAGGGTTTTTTTAGTTGCTGTTGCTTTAGATGAGTAGAGACCAATTGTGTTTTGGATGATTGCTGGCAAGTTTTTAAGAGCCCAGGTAAGTACATAGTGAAATAGGAAGGAAAGAAGTGTTAAAATGGCCCTTAGGTGAGTTAACTGGGTCATCTCATGAAACCATGGCCTTAAACATCCAACCCAAAGAACCAGATCCCAAGAGTTTTTTTTTTTTACTGCCCCTAAGCAACCTTAGCTGCTACTTTCTTGGTAGCTCTTGTTACATTATGGTAAATATATCTATCACACAACTTTTCCCAGTCCAGCTTTTTACAGATGTACAGCTTTAATGAATTGCTACAGCAAAGGGCTTGAGGATATTGGAGATTGTGAGGATGGCACAGGACAGGACAGGGTTCAGATCTGTTGCTTTGAGTCATACTTAACTTAATGGCACATAACAATAGTGACAAGAATTATCATTACTCCACATAACATGTAACAACACCATCATTTCCTCCTTCTCCTCCTCCTCCTCGCACTTGAAGTTGGAACTGACTCAGAGCTGAGCCTGAGCAGGTTTTTGGAGGCTGCAAATCTGATGGGAGGAGACTGCCTACTTATCTCTCGCTGCTGGATTTAAACCTCAGGAGAGGTGTGGCCTCTGGGTTAACAACCTATTTCCCTAAGGACTGTGCAATCAGAGCTTCATTAGCGATGGGCGGTGTCTTCCCCTGTGATTTAAAGTCTCCAGAAACTTGCAGGATGAAGTTGAGTCAGTTCCAATTCAAAAGCATTGGGTTTGAGTTTTTAAAAAAGTCTCTTTGAGCAATATTTTATAGCTTTCCCTATGTAAATCCTGGTAAGATTTATTCTTGGATATTTTCTTTTCTTAGATGTTATTGTAAATGGGATTATTGCCCTAATTTCTCTTTAATTCTCTCATTGCTGGTGTCAAGCGACTGTCAGTGTGCCCAATTTAGAATCATATTTTCTGAGATTTCATTGGAAATTCAGCATTTTTTTAACATTGCATTCTGAATGTATAAAACTGAGCATAATGTTATTTTTATTCCGAGGATCTTGTGGAGCACTTTGCATTACATATATGTGTGTGTGAACTTGCAACTGCTCTTCATCATCACAGATTTACTAGCTTTGGGACTTGCTACAGTTTCATCTCATTCCCTGCCCAGAAATCTCAGCTTGCTAGCAGCAGTACTGAGTGAAGAGAAGCCAAACAGGAGGCTGTACAGAAAGAGGATGTAGGTCTTGCTGAAGCATTGATAACAGTGGTTCTGGATTTGGGATCCATGGAATCTCCAGAGGGCCCACGAGCCCCAGAATTTGTACATAGGATTTAAAATGTGGGTATATTTTAACCTACTAAGTATGTCTGTAGCTTTGATCAAATCAGGTTCTTTCTATAATCCATTTAATTTTAAAAATTAAAATAAAATAATTTTTTTTTTAAATCTGCTTTTTGAAGCTTATGTAATTCTCATTAATGTGACAAATAGAGTAGGTGGTATGATTATCTTGGGGAAGAAATTTTCTTAACATCTCCAGGGCTGTGACTCTCTTATTCACTTGATCTTATATTTAATGGCAGATCAGACAGGGCATAGGAAAATCTTAGTTGAGTGCAGTTTAACAACCAAAGATTTTCTTAGAAGTAAGTTTTTATTTGTGAAATAAATAAATAATGAAGTAAAAAAATGAAAGGAGATGGATTGTCAGTATTTCTTATAATGCTTATATTGATAAATGCTGCTTTCAGGACCAATTTATGGCAATTTTAGAGCCATGGGAACGTGTCCCTCATTCACCCTGACATAACCACACTGGCTTTGACACCAAAAGGCATTTCCTTTTCTCCTAGTTACTTATTTCTTTGACCTAAAAAAATGTGAGGTGAAGGTGCCGGTGGCATGATAGTGATTTTTTATTGAATTTGCCATTGTCATTCTAATTTTTGCTTTCTCTTTTTTTAAAAAACCTCTACAGGGCAGCGTCTAACCGACTTAAATTAGTGAAGGTAGGTCTGATGGGACCCCAGGGCACCAGCTTTCTACTCTCCATTCATCCTTGGTGACAGTCTTGGGTCTACCTCAGCTCTTTACCAAGGAAATCTAACAAGAGCTCTCAGAGCATCACTGATTGGGGGTGGTGATGGTGGTGTGTTGTTGTGTTTGAGACCTAAAGTCTCACAAAACAAGAAGTCAAAATTTCTGGATTCAAAAACGCTTTCATGAATTGATTACCTTCATTGCCAGTGGAGTTGCAGACACTTTGTTTTTGAGGGCTGGGGGATGGGAGCAGAGATAATATTGCAAGTGTAATGAGAATTCCTATAGGAAGTGACTCTTTTTTTAAAAACGACACAAAGGCATAAATGCTCCATTTTTTAAAAAGATACCAATGCTCTGACTTGAGTGGCCACTCTTCTTTGCTAATCTGGGCTTGACTCAGTTTATTACAGCAGTCTCTGAATTTCCAAATGGAAGACAATGACAGGGTTTCTACTCAGTGATACATCACTCAGAGCTGGTAGGGCCAGCTATCTCTTTATTTTTCTCCATACTCCAATTAGGTCATCTCTGTTGCGGATGACTGTGCAGTGTTTCCAGTAACTGACCACAGGATTGTGCTCCAGCATGCTGTTTCCCACTGCTGAACTCTTTCCTGACATAACAGTGTTATTGTTGTTGTGTACCATTGAGTCAGAATTGACCCATAGCTGGCCCTCCAGTGGGTTTTCAGAGGCAGCTAATCACGTGGGAGAAGATTGCCCATCCTTCTTCCACGGAGTGGCTGATAGATTTGAACCATATGCCTTTGGGATTGCAGGGTAGCTTCCTGTCAGTAGGCCACCAGTGTCGGAGGGTTCAAAATCCTGCCAGCCCCACTAACACCACTGTCTTTTTCATCTCTGCCTCTGCGCAGACAGGAAGCTCCTCTCCTGTTGTAGCCTTTCCCTGTCCTCATCACTGTCTTCCCAGAACTAGCTTCTGTGCAAATGGCGAGTCTGGTTGTAGTTTTGTCTGAGGTTAATGTCTAGAGTTGGAGGTTTGTATTCCACCCTGCATCCTGCTCCTTTAAATTATGTAGGATGGTGGGGAAGGTGATGTCAGCAAGAACAGGGTTTTATTTTTTTCTCATTTTGTCACTCAGAAGTGAAATTCTAAGTCATTTATCAGATTCTGTTGAATAACCAGAAAAGAGAAAGTTTGCTGGTATGAAAAGCAGTCAAACAGCCTTTGTAGTTTTAATTGGTGGAGAGGGAGCCATGTACTTGGCATCAAGTGCCGTAGGCATCAGATCCCAACATTTCTTTAGCCCTTCTTTTCTCATTCATATAGATCATTTCTTAAATGAGACAAAACAAAAATTTATTATTAAATTAGCTTTCTTTCTCTCCCTCCATTTCTTCCTCCCTTCTTTTCTCCTCTATCCATTTATCTATCCATCCATCCATCACATTAGCCACTTAGCAATAACTATTTTAATTCTCATCTAGTCTTTGTCTTTATAAAAAGCTTTCATACTTATATATCTGTGTACTTTTTATGCTGTTATTTTGTTTAATACTAGTTTTAGAAACATTCTTCTATCTTTTTATAGTCACCATTTTCCCTTGTATTTACAAAGAATTACCCTCCTAACCGTTTCGTAGCTGTTGGGTATATATTCTTTAAACATTCATTTAAAAAAAAGTTGTTATACAGAAAACTTTAAGCCTCTTGTTTTTTCCTCATTTTGATTTTTCTAAAGAGATATTATTCTGAGTAGGATTTGTTGCTTTTCCTGTTCGAGTTGTAATCTTGAATGGTTGTTTAATCTACGGTGCCACAAACAACAAATATATTTTTCTTTCCCTGAATGCTTAGCTGCACTGTTTTTTGGCTAACAATTCTGGAGGGAGTGTAGTTTAAACAGATACAAATTTCAATTAAATTCTTCATTATTCAATTTGTATTTGACGATTACTAATGACATCCAAGGAGCTCTGATGGTATGGTGCATTATATGTTGGGCTGCTATCTGAAGGGTCAGCAGTTCAAATCTACCACCTGCCCTGAAGGAGAAAGAAGAGGCAGGCAGGCTCTCTCAGAAAGATTTACAGGAACCCTGTGGAGGGTTTCCAGGAGTCGGCATCGACTGGAAGGTAGTGGGTGGGTTTTTTGTTTGGAATGAGATCCAGCTATTTCAAGTGATGTAATAGGGAGAACTCAGTGTTTCAACAGAGTTCGGTCCAGCTGTGAATGCTCATGCTGTTTCTCACCAACTGGGTGAACTTGAACAGGTTTCTTAGACTACCAGCGTGAGTTTCTTCATCTATAATGTGGGGATGATACCTACCTACTTATAGGACTGTTGTGGGATTAATGAAGTATTAAAAGTATCTCCTCTGTAAATTTTAGTCCCTTTTCCTGTCTCTCTTCTTTTTCACTCACTCTATATTCTATATATAATTCTGCCTTTATATTATTTCTTCCATTAGGGGCTAATGATTTAATATGTTTCAGTGGACTCTTTTTTTCCATTGGTATTAACTCTTTATATAGTCATATTTAATATAAATATATGTTGTTTCTGAGTGCATCTAAATTCCAAAATCAATCTCCATAATAGTCTATGTGTTTCCTACTGCCAAAGGGGCCCTTTAGAGTAGTGAGAGAAGATCTTCACCCTGAAACCCACAGCGTCCCTTTTCAGCAGGAAGTAGCTAAGAGAATACGCCATCCCCTTTTTCTTATGACTCAGGGTGAAGTCTCTCTCAGGGAGGAGTGATAGGGAATGGCAAAGGACACACTGACAAAGAAGATTAATCAGAACTGGCTTTGACAAGCACTGTGGCATTTGGACAAGAACAAACTGGGAGGAGGGTAGAGAGAATAGTGCAACAATGAATGAGTGGAAGCCCAAAATCTCTGTAAATGTTTATGAAAATTAATAAAATATAATTATAGGAAAAAAATATATGTTGTTTCTAAAACTCAATTTAGATTTTTCATTTTCAAGAGTGTTGTTAGAACAACAACACTGTGTAGCTGGATCCTTTACATATGTTATGTCATGTAATCTTCCCAAAAATTCTGAATGTAGACATTGTTTTTAATATTTTGACTAGTATTTAGATATTTACCTATGAATTCACAGCTGGTCTGGGATGTAGCAGAGCTTGATCTATGCTGTTTTAAGCTGGTCGTTGCTTTGTAGCTTTCCCACTAAGTCTGATATCAAGTTTGAAATCAAACAACAGATTTAAAAACTATAGATCTTATCCATCTAACAAACCATCACAAGGAGCTCAGGAGGTGTAGTATTGTAGAGTGTTATAGAGATTGGCAATTCAGAGACACAATGGGGGTTGCTACTGTGAGTTGGACTTGATGGCGGGGCCTATAAACCATCATAACCAGGGTTATGGAAGTGGTGGAGAAATGGAAATTACCAAACTCCTTGTCTGCTTCCATCTTCTAATGAAAATGACAACAGCTCCTTTGTCCTCTAGGTGCTGAGTGATGGGGGCTTTCATGTCTTGTCTGTTGACTACAGAGGTACGTATTAGGATAGGTACAGGGGCTCTTTTAAAACCAAGCAAAAGCTTTAAAGATAAGCAGAAGGATGATGCCTCATAGATGGTGATGCTATGTTTACTTTTTTTGTGTGTCAGGGTTTGGGGACTCAACAGGTAAGGCCACAGAGAAAGGCCTGACCATGGATGTAGTTTCTGTCTATGAGTGGACTAAGGCAAGGAGTGGTGGCAACCCTGTGTGTCTCTGGGGGCACTCTCTGGGAACAGGGTAAGTGGAATCTGCAGATGCTGTGCCTCGCCTGAGGTGAATCTTTGGGTCTCTTGGCATCATATCAGAGGCAGCAATGAGGAGTAAAAGGAGCACTGAGCTATGAACAAGGGATTTTTCTTTGATCTCTCATACCTCACAAATGACCAGAGACCTCGTGACTTCCTTTAGTCTGTTGGTCTGTCTGTAAAAGATGGAAAAGGTTTGGTCAGCAATTTGGTTATCCAGGATATCAAAGCTTGCCCAAAGGTCTCCCTGTGAGACCTTTTTTCAAAGAAAGGATTCTTCATTTAGGATCTGTAGAGTGTTGAAATGCTGTGCAAAATTTTGCATCTAGTATATTATCTCATTAGAAGCATCGCAAGTATCCATCATCTGTTCATATTAGATGTTGTATTTTGTACCGTGTACTTGATTGTTAAATCACTGTTTCATGTGTTTACTGCTTTTACAGAGTTGCAACAAATGCTGCAAGAGTGCTAGAAGAGAAAGGTAATATAAAATATTTAAATGGTTAAATGTCTTGGCTTGATAAGGGGGAATAAACGTGGTCAAGAAACAGTTGTGTATTCTGAGAACACACAGATAATCTGAATATTTCAGCTTTAGTGCCTGGCCATGTGACATGTGGTCTTTTTTTCCCCCTTTATTTAACATAAAGCAGCTATCAAGGATATAAAATGGAAAATAAATTTTAAAAGTATATTTGGGGGAAAAAGGACTCTTGACTTAAAGAGCTCTTTGAAAGATATTCATGAAGCCATAATGAAAATTCTCATATAGGGTTACAGAAGATACAAGAGAATGACATGTTAACATAAAATGATAGTCAGGACTTGGCTTTCTACTGCCCTTCTTACATAGTATTTATAACTGTTTTTCAGAAAGTACTAAGAACTACCTGTATCAGACTCCTTTAGGTTCCTGGACTAGGAATCTCTGGGCTAGATTATTTTTATATATTTCAACAGTTTGTAATAATACCTCTGCATTATTTCTTTCACTTCACTTGGTAATACAGGCCAGTCTGAATTATGTAAACATTTTAAAGTCAGCCACCTGCTACAGACAACTGTAATCATTTAGAGAAATTAGGCAAACATTATTTCAGTGTGTATGTAAATTCCCATAGAGCCTTATGCACACCTCATTCACGATGTTGATGGGTTTGCATTGTAAATAAGAAGATAAATCCATTGGCACACTCTTCATTACTTTTTTCCCCTATTTCACAATAGCTTCATATAAATTCTTTTTCCCATTCCTAGTAATCACTCTAGAGATGACATATATCTTTAGTAAGTTAAACCCCAAATCATTTTTACTTAGTCAGAACCAACTTGTATCTGACTTCCCAGTAGGTTTTCAGAGGATGTAAATCACGTTGGAGAATATTGCCTATCTTTTTTTCATGGATTTGCTGATGGACTTGAACTAGTAGAGGCTTGCCATCTTTGGCTTTATCAGTGCAACTCTCTACTTATTATGTCATTGGAGTTCCCAGTAAAGTCTAATATAAATGGATAATGTAATTCCATTTATATGCCAGCCTATGAACTCTATATATAATGTGTTTTAATTTTTTCTATTAAATACTTAGAAAATATTATTTTTATATTATAGAATTAATCTTTCTGTAAGTTTACC